AGAGAGAGAGAGAGAGAGAGAGGGTGGGTGTTGAATGACGGAGAGATACCTTGGCGTAGTCGGTACCGTTGACCATCGACTTGTACGTTAATGTATTTCTTTATTACAGATAAGCTTAGTGTGTTCGTGGTAGATGGGTGCTCTTGTGTGGTTTGCTTCTTCTTTCCTGTCAAACATCTATCGTCATTATCTCCCCTTTTTCTTTTTTATGTTTGTTACTCTCTTGTGACACACCTCAAATCTTCTGGCGCCCATATGCCCTCTTGCAGTGTGGCGAGCGCAGAAAAACCTCTACTAAAACTAAAAACTAAAACTTAGTGTAATCGTTTATTCTGTCGAAAACGGCAGGACGAGATAATGTTACACCTACGAATCTAAACAGCACGATGGCTCTCTCAGCGCAAAAACTTCCGTTTTCACACTAATTCTCAGGTGTTTTGGAGCTCTTTTTCACTTCTCGAGAAAGAAAAGTAGCTCATCTTTAAGTTTGAAAAACAATTTTATTGTTGCAATTCCGTACCGTAGTCGGTGTCCGTTCAGATGAGTTCTTGTCAGTTACAGCATTATATCCTTTCAAACCCAATCAAAGTTAAAATTAAGTGCCGACAAAAAAATCTGATCGCCCCTTACCTCGAAAACGACGCGCTACAAAAATCATCAACTTGCCGATGATGGTCTTAAGTTCACGTATGTTAGTGCTTAGAGGGCTTAGGGAAATTTTGTACCATAAAAGTCGCGGTGTTTAGTTTAGAATAGACTAGATCCATATACGTCTGAAAGTTACAAAGCCTGGGAACCTTCTGCCAGCACCATTGAATGGGATTAACAACACGCTCAAGTTCTTTGTCACACTGTTCACTCCAGTGACTCTACGACTCTACTCATATAAAAAAGCAGTTGGCTGTGGCGTGGGGTAAAATTGAGATCTAAAAATATGAGTATAAATAATTTTATAAGGCCCACAACTGCTTCACTGCAATGAGAGCGTAGTAAAAATGTGTTGTTTTTTTAAATCTGGTATATTTTGTATTGTCCTATACTTCCATGATAGTCAGAGCTGTTCGTTAAGTCCGCACAAATTCTCAGGTGGCGTTACCGACAATTTTGAGGACGATTTTTTTAGCTGCTGAAAGAGAGGAGGGAATTATTTTGTAGTATAGGATCTTTACTAACAGCTCGCCTTTATTTTCTTTAACCAAAGCTTAGTTAAGTCATCCTGGAATTGATTTCTTTCGGTTTTTGCCCCAAATTCCGAACAGAATCAGATTTCTACACAAAACTGTATTACATGTATAATCCCCTCTCCTCCTAAAAAAAAAAAAGAAAAATGAAAAAGAAAAATAATAGAGGCTAGGGTGGTTATCATACGTTGCTGAACTGTTTTCAATTTTTTTTTAATGTTCAGATTCTGAGTTTTTTAAGGTGGAAAGTGAGAAGCACCTCAATGTGCTTATATTTGAATAAGAATTTTGCTATATAATACATTATATTAATATGATATTAGGATTACATGTGAATTCCGTTTAGTTGCCCGGGAAAGAGTTAATCTGTAAGGATAATTTGCTTCCAAATGCTACCAGTGCAGTCATAAGCCTAAAAGCGTTGTGGTGAAACTGTGGGTCAAATCAGCGACATGCCTGAAAGTGCCGAGGATAACATACTGAGTATACTTCAACATGTAAGCTGCATCTCCCCCCCCCCCCAAAAAAAAAACCAACAACAAAGCAACAACAAATGAGTATCGATACCATCAAGACGAGGTAGTCTATTCCCTCAGCATAGTCGCTGTTCCGCAGACGGATTTTAGAAAAAAGGTTTTCCTAAAAACAAAACAAAACAAAACAAAACAGAAAGCCCACCAAAACTACGGTTGCTCTTTCACGGTTCCCCGAGAGAAGCAGATGGGGAGAAGGGAAGGGGGGTGGAAAGGGGGCTGGATGGAAAGAATGAAGGGGAATGGGGGGACTGAAGGCAGGATAAAAAAGAGAGGTATTGGATATCTTCGATCAGCATTGTGCCAGTAAGAGGAAAGAGCTTAGAGCACATACTCCTCTTCAGATTATATCATTTAAAAATATTTAGAGATAAAAATTAAAATGCAGGAAACATATTATTATCTTTCATAGCTCTTTCCAGGAATAATGTCTCTCACTCTTCATCTTATTTGCCCTGTTATGTTCAGTATGCTATGAGAGCTGTCCCTTAGTGTTTTGTGATGATCAGGGTACCATTGGTCTAGCTGTAGTACAGACGTATCATTATGAGCAAAGCTAATACATTGTGTTATAGTCAATCTGGGGGTGATTTTGTGTGGACCTCGATTTTCCTAAAGTTTCTCAAGTTATGAAGTGTGTTTTTCCTTGTCATACAAAAAATCATAGACGTGTAAAAACACACCCACAACGCAACAATGCATTCTACGAAGACACACGTCCACACAAACTCCTGCGCACATATACAGGCACACATAGACAAACACTCAATTGTGCACACAGTTTGTAGCTGTGATGTCAGGTGTTCGGTTTTCATCGGTGTGCTCTGCTAATTGCATGCTACCCTTTTCTTTATGCACTGTGCTTTCGTATTATTTTAAGCAGTGTGTTCCCTCTTCCTTTTTCTTTAGAATGTGGGTGCGTGAGTGCGTGAGTGCGTGTGTTCGTCTCTCTCTCTCTCTCTCTCTCTCTCTCTCTCTCTCTCTCTCTCTCTCTCTCTCTCTCTCTCTCTCTCTCGCTCGCTCTCTCTCTCTCTCTCTCGCTCTCTCTCTCTCTCGCTCTGTGTGAGTGTGTGCGCGCGCGCGTGTGTGTGTGTGTGTGTGTGTGTGTGTGTGTGTGTGTGTGTGTGTGTGTATGTGTTTGTGCTGTGGTTTACTCTCCTTAAAAATTTAGCTTTAATACAACGCGCTTTTGTGATTCCTCTCAGCACGTGTCTTAGAAAGGTGCTTACATTGTGGTCTCATTTACTCTTCGACTGATTAATAAAATATTTTAAATGTCTTTCTCCCCTATCGACGCAATTTAGTAAGCAGGCTGTCCCCAACCAGCCTGCCAAGGCCAACTCGTACTGAGATGGATAGAGCATCCAAACAGAAAGACTGGTTCATTCGGTCTAAATTGAAAAAAAAACCAATCAAGAAATCGAACTGACACCTTTAGAGTGCAAAGAAAAAGAACGTAATCCATACACCAGAAACGCTTGTATTTTCAATCAGCCTCACCGAGTTTATTATTACCTTGTTTTATAGCTGCAATGTATTTTGATTGCATGAATTCCCCTTGTTTATTGACGCAGCTGTTCATGCGTGTGGTTGTGGGTGGGGGGGGGGGGGGGTCCTTCTGGAGTGAGGAGTGCAATCCTCCCCATGATGCACGGTTTAACTTGACCTTATGCCAAAAGATATTCCATTACTGCGTAGTGTGTTTTACAAAATTCGTTCCTGTTCATGTAGATGTTTTCTACACACATCTCATATTAATATATCTCCAAATAGACAGCTACTTTACATACAGTCATTTAGAGACACTACAGGGATGATACTTTTTACAAACGATATCCACATCTCATCACTACTGCACACCTTTGTCATTGATTAACTACCAACAACATAAACTCACAATAAATAAGTCTTTGGTTTATTTCAAGACACATGAAAGGAAGAGAATAAAGAAGCTAGTACAAAGCCATCACAAAAGTATCATCAATTTGCGAGACGAGACATCTCTTGCCGTGCATCCACATTAATGAAATAGGTACTTCCATGATGATCAGTTACTTAGCTTTTGGAATGGAAGTACCAACCAATCATACATTTCATTTTTTGTTACAATCTTTTTTAATTGTGCTAGAAATCTGGGCTGTGAAAAGCCTCAAGGTCCTTGGACATAATAGCCTTCAACAAAGTTATAGCTATGTTAGTTTGTCTTGTTGTTTCTACAGTGTTTTCTCTTTCATAAAGTTTCCTGTTTTCAGGCACGTTATAAAAATATGGAATGTACAGTATTCAGAAAATCAGCATTCATAAATCAAAGTATTATCAGCATCCTACCAACGAAATCAATTTCAACATTCGCTCTTTTTTTCTCAGGGTCATCAATCATTTTTCCAACTAAGCGGCAGTCAGTCAGGCTGTTCAGAAGAAAACAGTGTGCAAACGGCAATGTAACAATATTTCTACCAATCAAAGCGATCCGTAGACGACCAAGAGACGTTTAAGAAAAGCAGAATAATTAGATCAGGTTAATGAAATATACATGTGATTCTATGAGTAAACGTGAAGTGAAATGAAGAAGAAAAAAATAAACAGTCTTATTTTCCGGACTTCTTGAGGGCGTCAATGATGTAGCCGAAGAGCTTGTCCCAGGCAGCGTCGGCGCCGGCACGGGAGGCAGCCACGGAGGCCACGAAGCCGGGGAACATCGCACGGACGTTCTGAAAAATAGATCAGTTTAGGTTTGAGGCAAGAGGCTGTTTTGTTTGTCTCTTTGTTTGAGTAAGGAGAAGTACATCGACACAATAATGGTCATTTAGTGCTGGGGAAAAGTAAGACAGACAGATAGACAGAAACAACAGAGGGAAAGTAAACAAGTAGGACCTACCAATGGCGCCCTCCAACCACCCGCTAAGAAGCTGTGTTAATGAAGATGATTTTACGCCCCCATAGACACAGTTTAGATTATTTAGGAGGCGTGCTTCCTGCCCTGCCTTCCAGGACCCATCCTGGATACATCATACTGGAGAAATAACACGACAAACTAACAGAGTTAAAACTTTGTTGAAGGCTATTATGTCCAAGGTCCCAGAGGCTTTTTAATATCCCAGAAGAAAGAATGAGGCACTCGATAAAACTATTTTCCCCTCTCGGGAATCGAACTAGAGTTTTCTGCGCACGTCAGCGAAACGCCTGTCTGCTATACCACAAACACCGGTGAGGTAAGATTGAGTATATTGAAACGACATTGATGGAAATTTCGTGAGAGTCCTAAAGTTTGAGCGACAAAGATATTATAATATACAAGCAAAATGGAACCGGAAACGGTGGGCACAAAGAATAATTTTACAAATATTTAAAATACAGTTTGAGTAAGGAGAAACACATCGACACAATAATGGTGTTTAAATGCTTGGAAAAAAGCAGGACAGACAGATAGACAGAAACAACAGAGGGAAAGTCAACAAGTAGGACCTACCAATGGCGCCCTCCAACCACCCGCTAAGAAGCTGTGTTAATTAATCGCTTTTACGCTTCCACAGACCCTCTCTCCCTCTCCCCCTGGGGATTTCATCTTAAGGTTTGGCTTGTCACATTGTGAGCAGTTTCCTCAGAATTTATTTTAAATAAAGAACAATAAGTTTGACGTAGGCCTACATCTTTTACAAAGTACAGCGAGTGGGAAAACCTTTTAACAAGCAACATTTATTTATCCCCTGTGGTGATTCATACCAGATTCGGTCACACAGTAGCACATTGTGAAACAAAGAGAATTGATGAGTACCTTGTTTCTTTAAAAGTAAGAATACATGTGAGGCAGAGGATTCTGGCTGTTCTGTTACGTCAGCAATTGGATTTTGAAAAATATTTTCTTGTTTTCTTGAACAAAAATTATCTATTTGAATTATAGATTGTAGAGATAATAAGAAAATGATTTGCGTAGCTTTCAACAATAATTGATAATAATTGAAGCTATAATGGTGCATGTCCTTGTCTACTACAAGCTCTATGCGCTTTACAACTGTTGTTACCCCAGCAGTCTGCAGACCCAAGAACGCCCAGGAATATTTTCTGTTTCCAGGGACGCTTAAAGTGCAAGCAGCCGATTAAACCCTCAGACACGAACAAAGTGACAAGATCCTTCATCATTTATAGCCAGAAACCAATTCCCACCTATTTGAGGTGAAGCATGCAAAATTTGTGTAAAGAGTACTTCCCAAAAGTACAACGTCGGACCGAGCTGAGCTTCGATTCCCGAATCCGTGACCCCACAATTGCGAGTCTGGTAGCCTAATCATTACACTAGCAATGCCATGCTGCCATTGAAAGACGTTCGTTTTTTGTTTTTTGTTTTTTTCTTGTTGGGGGGAGGGGGGGTGGGTTGTTTGTTTGGTTTTTGTGGTAATTTCTCAAAGAACGACAAATAAACTACCCCTTCCCCTCCCCTTTTTAAACTTCTATAAAGACCATAACCTATCATCGGCCTGCTTTTCAGATGTACTAATCCCAAAATTTTGATTATCAGTTTTAAAATTGATTTTTCTAAATATTTGAATGTGTATGCTCAAGACATATTTTGTCGAATTCAAATTCCGAATACATGTACATGTATTTAAAAAACCGCAAAAAAGTACATGAATACAGGCATTGTTGAATTTAAAAAATGAAAGATTCTTTTTTCTCTCTTCGGAAAAAAAAAATTGCTTTCTGGGCTTAGAACAGTTGAACAGCTTGTTGATGCTATAGTCGTTACCTCAAACTGGGCAGATCCCACACCGAAGCCTGCGTGCTCCTTGGCGAACTGATCGAGCATAGCGCTCATCTTGCCGGCATCAGCAGAGTTGTTCACGAACTCGTTGAGACGAGCGAAGATTCTGGAAGAGACGTCACGCAGCTTGGGGGAGGCCTTGATGTCGGCGATACTCTTGCCTTTGAAGTCAGCGAAGAAGTTGGCAGAGTCGGGGAACTTCTCGAAGAGACTGGAATAGTAAATGAGTAAGATTTTTACGCCCCTTTCAACAAAGAATAAAAGACGGGACATCCGATGTCAGCGTTCATTTTCCATACGAGCGATCAAATTGGGTTGAGAGCATTGAAAACTCCACACAGCACTTTAAAAAACAGGATTCGAACCAGGGTCTCTGCTTCATAGTCCATCATGATACCGACTGAGCTAACGGGGCGCCTAGGATTGGACGATGGTAACTTAAGTTCGACTCCTAGCTGGAATCTTTATGGGTCATTTCGAAAGTAGAATTTTGCTCTCATGTATGAAACCAGAAAAAGCAATGTATTCCAACAAAAATCGAATCCATATCCTTTTAAGTGAAATAATTTGCCCTAGTATCATACTCCGATTAGTGTTTTTATTTTCGGCTGTATGTGTGCTACAAACCAAAATAAGCCAACTCTCTCTCTCTCTCTCTCTCTCTCTCTCTCTCTCTCTCTCTCTCTCTCTCTCTCTCTCTCTCTCTCTCTCTCTCTCTCTCTCTCTCCCCTCTCCCCTCTCTCTCTGTCTCTCGCACCTCTCTCTTTTGCTCTCTATCTATCTATCTATCTGTCTATCTATCTATCTATCTATCTATCTATCTATCTATCTATCTATCTATCTATCTATCTATCTATCTATCTATCTATCTATCTATCTATCTATCTATCTCTCTATCTATCTATCTATCTATCTATTTATCTATCTATCTATCTATCTATCTATCTATCTATCTATCTATCTATCTATCTATCTATCTATCTATCTATCTATCTATCTATCTATCTATCTATCTATCTATCTATCTATCCATTTGCCTTTTTCAACCTGGCATTGAGTATAGACCGCAAAGAAAGGTTCTCTAATTATTTATGTTCTAAGCGATCTTCTTTTCCTCAAGTCAGCTGTGTCCCATTTCCTCCCCAGAGGGATGTCGGTTCCCCCTCTCTCCTCTTCCTCTGGGGATTCCATCTTAAGGTTTGGCTTGTCACATTGTGAGCACGTTTCCTCAGAATTTGTTTTAAATAAAGAACACAGATGCATATCAGGCGTCTACTTAGATCTCAGCCATAGTATGTATTCTTTCCGAGAGCAGTAAATTAATTAATGAACATACTTACGCAACAAGGAAGTTATCGCCATTGGCGTCTTTGTTGGCGAAGACTGGGGCCCATGACTTGGACAAGAGATCAGCTTCGGCAGCGGACAGAGACATAATGGCGAGTAGAGATCTGGCAAACAGGAAAAGGAACGTTATTTCTCTCACAATTCCCAAATCTATTTTTTTAAAAATATGTAGCTGGAATTGAAAACAATCACCTCAGAAAAGGGCGGATAATTACAGGGTTGCGTGTGCACGTTTCAGATGAACAGACAGGATCACCAACGAGGAAGTATTAAGAAGAACGAGACAGCCCAGTCAGAGATGAGGTGGGAAGAAGGCGTTGGCGATGGATTGGACACACTTTCAGGAAATCCAGCAGCTGCATAACAAAGAAAGTTTTAGATTGGAACCCACAGTGTGAAAGATCAAGGGGAAGACCACGTGGAACCTGGAGAACAAGCACAGAAATGGATGTATAGAAAAGTGGGAAGACATGGAATGACATCAAGCGACTAGCCCAGGACAGGGAAAGTTGGTCAGTGTTTGTTCGTGGCCTATAACCTGATCCAGTGTGAGAAAAGCAATAATGATGATGATGATGTTTGCACGTTTCCCACGTCAAAGACACATTAGTTTCTGAATGTCGAAGTTGAACAAATCTACCCTTGGTGTCTGCTGGTGATAAAAAATGACTTGTTTCCGTTCCATACGTATAATATAAAAGAAACACTAATCGATCTGAATTGAAACGGTTACCTTTTACAAAGCGTGTAATGAGCTTGTATGAAATACTATGACGCTATAATTGTGTAGTACGACTAGCAAGAATGGGAAAAGGAGAAACATACAATCACATATAAGCCGTGCGCGCATGCTGCGAGAGAGAGAGAGAGAGAGAGAGAGAGAGAGAGAGAGAGAGAGAGAGAGAGAGAGAGAGAGAGAGAGAGGAGCAGATATTTATGTATCCTGTTGGAAGAAATCATAGACAGTGAAATAATATGTAAAACAATGGTCATTTTTTTAGATAGAACCTGTAGCCTCAGCTGGCTTAAAGAATACAAGTACAATGAAAATATAATTTTTCTTAAAGATAAAAGGAGTTAAAGAAAGAAACAGTACAGTGCCAAGATTACATTATGACACATATACTAGGAAACACTTTCTAAAACGATATCAATTTGTATGAGTTAATTCGCTACCTTAGAAGTGCAAAGTTCTATATATACTCAATACCTAGTTTTGGGAAATTCAACGTAAAAAGTTTCAAGTTTCACAAAAATCTCAACCTTTTTCGAATGCAATTCTTTGAGTATACATATACTGATAACGACTCCAAATAATATTACTAGTTTGATAGAGCAGATAGGACATTTGGTTTCTGACCTCATGATCTTAGTAACTCAAAACGGCCAAAAATGACAGAAAAAACGTTGTATTTCTAAGCGTTAAGACTGGCGGATACTGTAGTTAGCTCTATTCTAGCACTCATGACGATATTAAGTTTTAACAGGGTATTTGAGAAGAAGGCAGAATCTCCTATTTAAATTCTAAAAGTATTGCTTGTTTCATCTTAAGAGGAGAATAAGCGGTGCCAGTCCAAAATATTCCTATTATGCCCTCTTATCTGGTAATATTTGGAGAAATTTTTCTTTGAAATAAAAAGCGATGGCTACAATTCTTTACTACTTATTATTTGAAGTCTGTGTTTCATGATAATATTTCCAGTTTCTGAATTCTACACGTCTCAACGGAAGGATAATTCAAAATTGCAGTGCTATGATTTGCTGGTTAAATTGACACACACGATATGATTTCTGCCATTGAAAAATTGTAGGCACCAAAAGGACAGACATAGAAACTTTATTCTTCTTTGAAGATATGTTCCCCTCATGCAAAATTGTAGGGGTTTAACGTCACTTGCAACACTGTAAGGTTATTCAAGAGGTGGGACCTTCGAATTTAACGTCCATCTCCGATAGGACTGAGCGAAATGAGAAGATTCGTGTAACGTGCCTTTCCCAAGGACACACTATTTGTTCGAACTATTCCTTCGTTTACGGTCCAGGGAAGGGAAAGGACTGAGATACTTCTTTAAAATCCACAAAATCAAGTTATTATAATAGTGTCGTATTCATAAAACGCATTAATAATTCTTTCCAGAATGAAAAAAACAAAAACAAAAAACACCATTTAGGCCTTAAAAATCAGAGCAAAGCTTTAGTATTGTAAATCATCTCCGTCTTATCGCTTTCAAATAAGTGGAGGCGATATATATCCAAACAAGACTGGAGATAATAAATTATAGTACAACTGAATCAACAGGATTTCGCAGAAAATGCTATACAAGTAAAATGCATATGGTCATATCAAAAATTCTTTCAAGGAGTTAATGTCCAGATGCAAAATTGTTGCGTTATGAAAGAGCCAAAAACTTCTGCAGGGAAGTAAGCGTAGAGAGCGAATAGAAGTTTTGATTTTAGACAACGTTTCGAAAAATCCAAACACTGTAAACCTAGATCTATAGAGGAAACCTAAAACATACTAAGAAAGTCTAGCATCGGCGCACGCACGCACGTACCGGTGTGTTTTATCTGCAGCGTTGAGTACAAGATTGTGTCGTTATCTGTTAGAACATTCCCCTCCTTGTCCTGGCATTTATATAGGAGCTCATCCCGCGACGACCTGCACGTAGGCCCCCAACCTCTAATGTCGTCGCCCAAAGTCAAAACATTTGGTTCACATACCCCCCCTACCCCCTCCCTGATCCTCTTTTGTCTTACCACGCACAAACAAACAACGCACAAAGGACAGAAAAGAGACCAGACCGCGAGCAAAGCCAACATTGAGCAATTCATCCTTGTTCTCGATAATGTCAAGACAAAAACAGTTTCTCGCTGCTCTGATTGATACTAACGTACGCAGGGTGAAGCAGAAACAAAACCCAGAATAAAACTGCCTATTTGTTCGAAGAAAGACATTATTGCGTCATCAAGATTCCAAATATCGCCACGGAATGTTCCAGAAACTACCTCTCGGATCTGTCTCTACTAATCTGTTTCTTTAGATCTATAAGAAATCAGTACTCACTTTTGATACCTGCTTATACATTCACACTCACACACACACACACACACACACACACACACACACACACACACACACACACAAAGCAACACACACAGACACGTGCTCATACGCACGCGCACATACTCACGCACACATAATCACATGCACATACACGCACACACACTCACACAATCACATGCACACACTACACACCCACACATGCACACACACACG